AAGCAGGTAGCGAGTGGGACGTAAGACGTGTTCTACCTGTCTTCTCTGTGGGGAGAGGTTAGGCCTGCAGAGATCTTTCCAGTTAAGTATAGTTAACAGAAAAATCAACAAAACGGGGCCTGTGAAATAACATTACATCCTAAAGAAAAGGGGAAATTGCTTATTCAGTTGGAACGTCCTGGGTATGATTTTAAGAAACCAAGCAGATATCTACAAATTTTCCATCTCTTTGATAGAAGTCAGATCTGTTGGGAAATCAGAGAAAGAAGTGAGGAGAAGAATAGGCTTAATTAGCATATCAGTCAATGTTCACGTGGAAAGGCAGACCCACTAGGAGAAATAAGTGTTAAGAATTGTTATAGGGAATGGTTTATTCAGTGATGGGGGCTAGCTAAGCAAGCCCAAAATTCACAGGGCAGAAAGGGGAGAGAGGGTCATTGGCAAGGTTAGCCTGTCAGTTTGGGCCAAAGCTGTAGTCCTCAGCCAGGAAGGTGAGGTCCCAAGAGGATGGAACTCCAGGCACAGGTCGAGCTTTCCTCTACATGTGTAATTTTCCTTCCCTCCCTTACTCCCTCTAAGGTCCACTTTTAAAGGCCTACATAGATTATCCAGGATAACTTCCCTTATGAGATCAACTGATTAGGGGATTTAATCACATCTGCAAAGAACTCATGAAGGCAACAATGGAAGAGGAATTGGTGCAAATAATGCAAGGATTTCCAGATTCTTAAAGCTTAATTAAATTCACACTGGGGCAAAGGACCCATTTGACATTGTAGTTGAGGCAGCTAATGATCTAAAAAAGCAAATTCGCATAACTCTTAGAATGCAGAGGGAGATGTCAGAATCAGGAGAGGAAACACTTGATAGAAGAGAACAGACCCTAAACTATTAGTGCTGTGCAATTTAAACTGAGACCAAAGGAATAAAAGCAAGAATGGAAGATAGGTTGGGTAAGCTCTCAAAATAACATTTGTTTCTCCCTTTGGACCTTGGCCTCTTCTATAAACCTAATTGACATGACCTCTATGTGGATCAAATGGAAGTGGTGAGAGGTGAACAGGAAAATGTCTAAAAGTAGAGTGTATGCATGTCGAGGACCCCTGCCCCTGCGCAGCAATAAAAAGAAATTGCACTACTGATACATGCAGCACTGTGGGTGGCTCTCAGACATCACGCTGAACGGAAGATGTCTTGCCCGAGTGTATGAATTGTGTAATTTCATTTATTTGAAGTTCTATAATAGGCAAAATCTATGATGAAAAGTTCAGAATATGTACACCATGGAATACTATGCAGCCATAAAGAAAGATGGAGACTTTACGTCCTTCATGTTCACATGGATGGGGCTGGAAAATGTTCTTCTGAGCAAAGTATCACAAGAATGGAAGAAAAAGTATCCAGTGTACACACCCCTGTTATGAAACTAATTTATACCTTTTATATGAAAGTTATAACCTAATAACAGCCTAAGAATACCGGGAGAGGGGAGGGAGAAGGGAGGGGGGAATGGGTGGAGGGAGGGGGATTGGAGGGATCACTTCTGAGGTTTATCTTACAAGGGTACAAGTGAATCTTTCTAAGAGTAGAATGTGAACGTTTTAAAATAATTAAGAAAATGACATGAAGGCTATGTTAACCAGTTTGATGGAAGTGTTTCGGATTGTGTGTGAAAACCCCACACTGTACCCCAGAAGTGCCTTAATGTATATAGTTACCATTCAATTAAAAAGGAAGAAAAAAGTTCAGAATAAGTGATTAACTCTAGGGATAGCAAGGAGGGGATTAACTGGGAAGGGGCACAAAGATGTTTTTTGGATGTTGGTAATGTTCTTCATGTTGATAGACGTTTGGGTTACATGGGTATGTGCATTTGTCAAAATTTACAAAGTCACGTTCTGTACATTTGTATTGCACTATATATACACTACCTAAAATTATAACCATATGTTGAACTCTGGTTAATGAGATGCATGCTGAACTATTTGAGGGGGTGAAATGTCTTCAGCTTATTTTGAAATGGGTGAATAAAGGGAAGGATAGTTGGCTAGATACGTGATAAAGCAAATATAGAAAAACATTAATTACAGGATGTAGGCTGGTAAGTATTGGTTAGTTGTGTAATTCTTTCAAGTTATGTGTACTTTTGAAACAGGTAATAAAATGTTGGGGACACAGAAAGGTGCTTTTTAAACCACATTAGCTTGCTCAAGTGATTTTTTTCTTTTCTTTTCAAAAAGAGTGCAATCATGGAAAGAGTATCTTTTTAGACTCCTGACAGCATAGCTTTAAAATCATGATTCTGGCTGTGGGCAAGTTATTAATTCTATGGACTTGTCTTCATTTACAGAATGAGGATAATGAGACTGTACCCTGGCAGTTCACTTGTCAACCTGTGGATCGTGATTCCCTTCCCCCCATTTTTTTTAGAGACAGAGTCTCATTTTATTGCCTTAGGTAGAGTGCCATGGCATCATTGCTCACAGCAACCTCCAACTCCTGGGCTTAGGCAATTCTCATGCCTCAGCCTCCGGAGTAGCTGGGACCACAGGTACCTGGCTATTTTGTTGTTACTGTTATTGCAGTTTGGTCGGGACCGGGTTTGAACCCGCTATCCTTGGTATAGGGGGCTGACACCCTACCTACTGAGCCACAGGCACTACCTGCAACCTCTTTTTAACAATGATAATACATTGTAGCATTAGAAAGGTTGAGAACCACTGCCATACAGGGTTATTATGAAGATAGAATCTAAAAAGCTGGGGTAAACTATGGTGCTTAGTAGGTCCTCACTATGTATTTTCTTATCTGTTGTCTGCAGAATGGGCCTACCTCACATCAGATGTAGTGCCTGCTGCTATGACTTTATACTGAGATTGGGGGAGGGGAGAGTACAGGAGTGGGGCCAGCTTCTGAACAGGTGCATGGCCTTGATCCTTGAACCTTTTGCTCATATACTGAGCTGACTCAGCAAATGAAGGGCTAGAAAGGGGTGGAAGGTAAAGAGACAGCTGCTTTAAGGAAGTGTCACCTGCAATGTCAGAATTAACCAGGCTCTAGAAGAATAAACACTTCCTGTTGAGTGCCTCATTGGCTCTTTGGTTTTTAATAAGGATATCAGAACAATTCTAAGACACATTAGCTGGTGATATTTGATCTTTTTGTCTTTTTTTTTTTTTTGAGACAGGATCTTGCTCTTGTTACCTGGGTTAGAGTGCAGTGGCATGATTGTAGTTCACTGTGTAGCCTCAAACTCCTGAGCTCAAGCCATCCTCTTGTCTTAACCTCCCCGGTGCTGAGACTATAGGTGTGCATCACCACATCTGGCTTATTTTTTCTGTTTTTAGTAGAGATGGAGGTATCATCCTTGGTCAGGCTGGTCTCAAATTCCTGAGCTCAGGTGATCTCCCACTCCCCACTCCCAGAGTACTAGGATTATAGATGGGACTCACTGTGCCCAGTCCTTTTTGTCCTTTTCTTTGGTCTTGCTACCTGCTCAGAGGTGTTATTAAAATTTGTACCGGCACATGTTATTGTTTCTTCTGGGACAGCGATTTCTTTCCAGCCACATGCCTTTGCTTGAACACCCTATAAATCCTGAATTGGTCAGTGTGTAGGGTTCTTTAGGGAAAATATACAGTGTGAAAGACAGGCTGTGCTTCTAAAGAAATTTACCTTGGGAATACGGATGCTACATGAATACACAAGTGACATTAGGAAACAGTGCAGTTCATCATAAAAATCACAGCTTCAAAGATGCATTTATTCCTATTGTGAAATTCACATATAGAAGTATCAAAGGACTTCAGGGTAAAGAGAAAAACAGTGTGGCCCAAGAAATCCTGAGAGTACTTAGTGAAGAAGTTGAGGCCCATGGGATCCCATGAAGAATGAGAGACACTAGCTAAGCTGAGAGGAGGAATGACAACCCCCAGGTGCCTGGAGTTGATGTGTGCAGCCTTGTGTGTGTATGTACCGCCCTGCAGTAGCCTCAGCTCCTGCCATCACAGGTGGCTAAGGAAGAGATGGAGCCGTGCTAGTGAACCTTCCATGTGATCTGAAGCCCAAGAAGATTGGGAGGCGGCAGGGAAAGAGCTTCCCAGGTGCTGCTGTGGCCGCTCAGTATGCACACACATCACCCACCTCACATCACCCACCTCTCCTGCGTTACAGTGGCTCTGAGTGAGCGATGGGATCTTACTCTGGGGATGAAGAAAGTGAGTGAGGTTCAGAGAGTGAATGAATCATGCCTGGTGACAAATGGTAAATGCCAGGTTTGAACCCAGAGCCCTTCCTCATTCCTTCACTTTGAGCATGACTCACTATACCAAGAAGAAACCCCCACTTCAAGTGAAATAAGCCCAAGCACATGGTTTCCTTTCTGAAGTTATTAATGCATTATCGTAGAGTTAGTCTTATTATGCCTGAAGATGCATTTCTTTCTCTCATTAAACAACTGAAAAAGCTGGTGGTGCCAGCAATTCCATTTGCCCTTATTGTAGGGAAATAAAAAGACCTGTGTACTTAACAAGCAAAACCTGTTTTTATGTTGTGCCAACTCCTGTCTGGGCGTTCTTTTAAAAAGTAATTATACTCTTTATGATACTCCCATTTAAGTCCTTACAGCTATTTCCCTTGGGTCCCCATGTTGTGGGGTTGCATTCTCTTCTATTTTTTTCTTTAAAGGAAAAAAAAAGGTGTGTACAAGTCACCCTTATACATCCGCCTGTGAAGTTGGTTGAACAAATACTGTATGTTGTCACAGTGTAGGAATGGCTTGATTCTTTTGTGGTATTATCTTCTAATGAAGATTTTGCTTTCTCTGCTTTTTTGTAGCTTTGTTCTGTCTTTATTTGAGGGCTGATTCTGTGATAAAGCAGTTCACAGTGTTCATTGTCTCTTAAGTTCAGGATCTTAGCACTTGGAGGCAATGGCGGTTCTGTTTGCTTTGTGTTTATATACTCTCAGTCACTCACATTCAATTTCCACCCCATTTACAGATGCTGGCCCTCGGGAGACGTTAATGCATTTTGCTGTGAGGCTGGGACTGCTGAGGTTGACGTGGTTCCTGTTGCAGAAGCCAGGTGGCCGTGGAGCCCTCAGCATCCACAACCAGGAAGGGGAGACGCCTGTGAGCTTGGCCTTGGAGCGAGGTTATCATAAGCTGCACCAGCTTCTGACCGAGTGAGTGCTCTTGCTTCCCGATCTCCTCCCTCCCCACAGCCCCACCCCACTTCACAGTAGTACTGCCCTCTCTGCATCTTACTGTGAGTTTGCCAAGAATTGAAACCTCTACTCAGTACCTTGCCTTCTTCTGGAGCTTGGTGAGCTGCTTCTGCTTACAACTTCTTTGTCGGAGAGACAAATGTGAGTCATGCTGTTGTTTTCTGTCTCCTCTGCCTCCCTGTGCCTTCTCTGCTTCTTAGCTCTTATATTTTACTGAAAACCCAGAATGAGTCTTGCCTGTGGGGGTAGCAGGGTATATACCAGTGTATAGTGTTTGTCATAGTTTAGTGCAGAGGAAACAGTTTTTCTATGCTCTTTTTTTTCCTGGTGTGTCTCTAAGACTTGAAAGAGTTAATTAGAACCATTACTTTCATATTATAATTATATACAGAAATATGGCAGACAATTAAATTTTGGTTTGAATGTAATTTCTGTGAATAAAATTTGAAAGCAGTGGTTTCTTCATATGAATAGTAATAAAGAGCAACTGTGAGTTGTCCTGGAAATGTGCTGTAGGAAATCCTGTCTGTCGTTGGGTTCAGTTGTTACAAGTTCTTACTCTTTAAAGAGTCCTTTGGAGGAAGGTTGTTAGTCAAAACACATTTTTTTTTTTTGTATAAATAAATGTATTAGAGCAGCCAATGTTTTTAATTGAAGCATTTATAAAAGTTAGAAGTTTTAAGAATGGTTTCTCTTGTTTAATTTTTTTTATTGGTTTTATGGTTATTACCTTTTCTGTCACATTATCTGAACAAGAATGAATGCCATTGAATTGACATTGTTTTTTTGGAGACAGAGTGTCACTCTTTTGTCCCAGGCTAGAGTGCTCTGGTGTCATAGCTCACAGCAATCTCTTTGGACTCAAGCCACCCTCTTGCCTCGGCCTCCTGAGTAGCTGGGACTGCAGGTGCCTGCCACAGTGCCTGGCTAATTTTTTCTTCTTCTATTTTTTAAATAGAGATGGGGTCTCACTGTTGCCCAGGCTGTTCTCCAGCTCTTGAGCACAGGCAGTCCACCCCCCTCTGCTTCCCAGAGTGGTGGGATTATAGGCGTGAGCCACTGTGCCCAACCTGGATCTGTGCTCTTCAGAGTTGAGGGAACCTTACAAATTGAGTTGGTATTCCCAAATTCTTTGTTGTTTTGCTTATGCCAGATTTAATTTAGTTGCATTTTATATTTCACCGTGTATATGCAGGGTAGTCTGGAAGGATCAAGAAGAGATCTCAGAATGTAATGCTGCTTGCAGTTTCAGAAACAGTTTTTTCTTGCTTCACTTGCCTGTCCCCATCAGGTCAGACAGAAGGTTCATGCAGAAAGCTTTCTGATGAGAGCTCCAGATATAATGGTGGCAGGAGGGGCACCTTCATCTCAAATGAGCTTTCGATACCTGAGCTCTCCTGTGACAGTATTCCACATATGTTCCATCTGGCCAGCAATTGGATTCATTCTGCTGTTTGCCTCAGGAAGAGAAGCCACATCTGAGAAGTTGAAAGAATTATCTTAGTATAGCTCTTGTGAAGTTTAATTGCATTTCTTCTGAATTTGATTTCATAGCTCAGTTTTTGCTGGGAAGCAGAATTGGTTAACGATTGCCATCCAAATGGGGAAAGAAAGTGACTATAACAGCTTCATTATATGCTTGGAGGGGTGTCACAAGACTTATTACAGCACAGCTACAAGGAAAACTGGTTCTTGGAGAAGATTTCTTTTTATTTTTCTTGCTTTAAAGTACTACCTCTCCTGCATGTGGGAGAGTTACTCATCTCCTTGGGAAGGGAGACTGGTTACAGGAAAACTGACTTGAGAAACCTCCCAATAGAGGACTCTGCTGGGAGAATATGATCTTGCTGCAGACCTGGCCCTTAACTTGAATTCTTCTGGGCTGTTCTGTTGTAAAGCCCAGAAGAGGTGCTGAGTCATAGTTAGCAATTAAAGAATAGTAAGAAGGTGATCTTACTAAATCCCTCAGTCTTAAGCTGTGATGCTAGCAAATTTTACTAGAATTTCAACTGTTATAGATTCAGGAAAGATCATTGGGTGGTTTTTGTTTTCTCTCAGTAAGATACACATAACATAAAACTTAACTATTTTAACTATTTTTAGGTATACAATTAAGTGCAAGTGTACTGTGAATGTATATAAATGTAACTGAATGTGCTTACGTGGCGTTAAGTACATTTGCAGTGTTACATAATCCTCAGCACTGTTCATTACCAGAACTTTTTCATCACTGCGGACAGTAACTCTGTACCCATAAGTACTAACTTCCCATTCACTCCTTTTCCCACAGCCCCTGGTAACTTCTGTTCTACTTTCTGCCTCTAAGAATTTGCCTATTGTAGGAACTGTATGTATATGTGTGTAAGTGGAGCCATGCCGTATTCTTCTGTCTGTCTGCTTTCACATAGCATTATGTCCTCAGGGTCCATCCATGTTGTAGCATGTGTCAGAATAATGTGTGTTTCAAAATTAGTAAAAGAGTATATTTTAAACATTCTTACCACAAATTAAGTAGGTGAGGTGATAGAAATGTTACTGTTTTTCAGGGTGTGTGTGTATATATGTATCAAAACTTAACATTTTACCCATAACTGTATGTAGTTATTATTTGCCAATTAAAAATTGCATGTAGCCAAAATGTGGAAACAACCTAAGTGCCCTTTATCAGATAAATGATTAAACAAAATGTGGCATATGTATACAGGGTGCCCATAAAGTTCAAAGAGTTGGCTGTCTTAAATTGCACACAAAATGGAATATTATTCAGCCTTAAAAAGGAAAGATCATCTTTAACAAATGAAACAGATCCAGAGAGGCATCGTGATTTGATTAGGACAACAAGGTAGCAAGGCCAGAGAGAGAAGCCAACTCTCATAGGAGATTGTCCAAGAGCTTCTTCCACTCCAGCAATTCTTTTTTATTTTTTTAAATTTTTTTGAGGCAGAGTCTCAAGCTGTCACCCTGGGTAGAGTGCTATCGTGTCATAGCTCACAGCAACCTCCAACTCGGGCTCAAGCTATCCTCTTGTCTCAGTTTTTCTATTTTTAGTAGAGACAGGGTCTTGCTTTTGCTCAGGCTTGTCTTGAACTCTGAGCTCAAGGAATCCACCTGCATCAGCCTCCCAGAGTGCTAGGAACTACAGGTGGGAGCCACCACAGCTGGCCACTCCTGCGATTCTTAACAAGGGGCCCTAGAAGAAATGTCCTGAGGTCTACATTTGTTGAAATTAGAGGTCAGAGTTTGTGCACATGTGAATCTGAGTAAAGATTTTGCTTTGTGAAATGCACAGAGGGTTTTTGTAGAAAGGTAAGAACTGTCACATTATGCGATGCTGTCTTTTTAGTAGTTTACTAAAATCTTTAGACTTTGGGTGTGTCTTACCTCATCTCCTTTATTTTTTGTTAATTTTTCCCCAAATAGGCTTGTCCCTTTCATTGATTGACTCTTTTCAGTTAGTGTGAGATTGAAGTATGATTATGTGTAGTTTATGCTTTTTAAATAAGTAATTGCATTCTGCTCTTCATTGAAAACTTTAACAGCTCTGCCAAAATACATTTCTTGTTTTAATTTCTTGCTGCTTTATCTTGTTCTTTCGTTTCGATTTTGATTGTGGTGTGGGGGAGTTAGGGGCATTGTGCTCATTAGGGCCCAAGTTCTTTTTGTGTTTCTGTGTTCGAGACTTATTCTGATAAACTGAGTCTCCCTTCTATGTGAAAATTAGGATTTGCCCTTCTTGAAGATAGAAGGATTCTGTGAGAACTATTTATTTAGAGAACTCTTCAAATTTATATTAAATTCCATCAAGTAGTAACAACTATTGAGGACATTTTTGATAGTTTCCCTTTTTTGTAACCCATGATTATAACTTTCACTTAGTTCAGTGACAGGGAAGTGAGGGATTTATGGCTTCTTGCTCTCTTGCTTTAGCTTATAATTTGATCTTACATCATAAATGTGGATACATTTGTGATTTGAAAATTGACCTTGAATAAAAGGTTATCAGTTTTGCCTAAGAAGTCTTAGTCTTAGAAGTGTACCCAGAACACCTAAGCTACTACAGCTTTAGTTTGACCAGCAGTTCTCAACCTGTGGGTCGCGACCCCTTTGGGATTGAATGACCCTTTCACAGGGGTCGCCTAAATACATCCTGCATATCAGATATTTACATTATGATTCATAACAGCAAAATTACAGTTGTGAAGTAGCAACGAAAATAATTCTATGGTTGGGGGTCACCACAACATGAGGAATTGTCTTAAAGGGTCACGGCCTTAGGAAGGTTGAGAACCACTGAGTTAGACAGTCATCTCCCCCAATTTGAAGGCCTCGCCCATCATTACCTAAGTAGTCAGTGAAGGAGAGAGTAGGGACAGAACACAGTTTGCAAGCTGTTCGTTTAGTTCAAGCTAGGAAGTGACAATATCAGATGAGTATGGTGTTGTAATCATCTGCAAAGAGAATATTTGTGCTGGATGCTGTCAAATCTGGCCTATATCTCTCTCACACATCACAAAGAAGAAATCTTGGGACCTGGGTCACTCTTGGGAGTGGGGCAGAGCTTCAGAGTAAGAGGCATCTCCAGGTAGTAGGGACTAAGCTTGCACCTTCCAAGTCAAAACTAGGCTTGCATTTGGCTCTGCCATGTTTAGCTCTGTTATGTTGTACACATTAACTTCCCTTCCTAAACCTTGATTTATTCTTCTGATAAATTAAAAGGATAGCAATATCTGCTTCCTGGAACAATGATCAAGTCTTTGTATATGCAGTGTGAGAAATCAGGGTATGTCATATAGATTGTTTATTCTATGGAGCAAATAAAGGTGCTATGAATATTTCAGCTTGAAGAGATACACCATAATATGATGGAATTGCTTAGGGATGAAGATCTTAAAATCTAAGATTCCCTGCTTAGTTGTGTGACTTAGAAAAAATTACTTATCCGCTCCTGAGTCTCATGT